CACACACACACACACACACACACACACACACAATGAAGAGATGCACAGGAGCATACCTTCCCTTTTACTCTGCCTCCTGAAATAACGTGCAAGTGAGCCGTGGAGGCACACGGGGATGTGGGCAGCTGCCGCTCAACCACAATCAACGTGGGCAGCCTTGTGCGTAAGAGGCACAGTAAAAGGGGAGCTGCAAGAGCAATGAAAGGGGTACCCCAAGAACAACCGAAAAACTGTCTAATTATAAAATTGCTTTAATATGTTGGACATCTCAAATGCTCTCGTTGTCTGCAATAGGATAAAGACTGCTTCGATTCTGAATCTATTCACCTGGGTGGAATTGGGGCTGTTGTGGGGACAATCTAAAACACACACATTCTCTCTCATGTGACGCGCACGCTTGTCTCAGCCTTGACCTTGCCAACAAGCCCAGCATTTGCGACAGCATACGGATGTGCATGTCATTTCGGGGCCGTGATTCTGGCGTTGTGTGGGTACGTGTGAATTAGGGTGGGGCGGGGCTGTAAAGTGAATGAAATGGTGCAGGCATATTGGTGCCTTTGTCTGATGCGCCTATGTTTTTTGGTGGTGAGGTAGTTGGAAGCATTTACTTGTCGGTCGTTTTGGGTGCATGTGTGTCAAATGGGCAGTTGTGTCGGCACTTGACGCTCAGCCACGCAGTTGCGAGGAATCTCACACTTTTTATAATATCTTTCTGGTAAGTGGAGGTAAAAAAAAAAAAAAAAAAAAAAAAAAAAAGTGGAGGTAGGATTGGGGTTATATTTGGTGTATTTTGGATATTAGACCTGCACACATTTGCAACACAAATATGTGCCCGTTTGGCAGTGTGTTATTTTTGGTTTTGTGCCTTTAATGTTGCTGTCTTCTTCTCACTCTCTTTTTCATGATGTGACAAGTTTCTTTCAGATTGTGGCCAGTTTATACTATAGATATCTTGGCTGTGATAGTTGCCGGGGACGACTCGCCCAGCTGGGCTGAAAAGGGAAAAAGAAAACTTTTTTTTCATTTTCAATTTTCAAATTGAAAAAGAATTCCTTTCTTCAAACTACACTTAGTACAATGTATTTTCTTCTCTCGCATTCATTCATCTTTCACTACCTACCTACCACTACTCCTAAGGCTATACAGGGGACCCTGCAAGCATAGCGTTATCTGCCTCTCCTGTGGAAAGGAGATTACCTCTCTCGGTGAAGGAGGTATTGCATGTTTGCCCCTTGCCCTAGTGGTTTAGGGTGCAGGGTTGGGGCTGCTGGTGGGGGCCTGGCTAACACAAGCACCGAGCATTTGCCAGTAGCTGTGCCTCCCTTTTCATCTTCCCCCACCCCCCATTGAGTAACAGCAGTGTCCAAGACCAACACTCTACCACACACCACACAACCCACTCAAACCCACACTCGCACCCGTGTTGGCTGAAGACCCTACTGATACCGATTAGGGGGATCAACCTGACTATCTCAGCTGGCTGGCACCAAGCATACCGCAAGTCCGCCATGGGGATTGAACCCATGGCCTCCTGAATGCCGTTTGCGTGCCTAACCAATTGAGCTAGGCCGCTGGATTGAAAGCGAATTAGGGTACAACCCTGAGAAGTAACCTCCCTTCACCAAGAGAGAGCAGGTTAACCGAGCACCCATTTTTCAGGCCCATTTATAAGAAAACCAGACAGTCATTTTAACAACACTTCACACCAATCTATAGAGTGCACTGTGGAGAGGCAGATAGCTATGCTTGCAGGGGTCCCCTGTATAGCACTAGGAGTAGTGGTAGGTCGGTCGTGAAAGACGAAAGAATTTGAACCATCCACCCCGCTGTACCAACTCCCTTTCGACCCGTCGGAATGGGAATGGACATGGGGAGAGTCTCAAACAATGGCCCTGTGGCAATACACTGTGAAGAAGGGCTATTGGGCAGCGTGTAAACCGATTAGGACCGAGGATCAAATCGCTAAGTGCTGGGAGATAGACTCCCCGCTGGGGCAACAGGACTTCAGGAACTTCCGCTGGTCCGCATTCTCTCACATCCGGCCGACTAGTCACAGAGCCCTTCAGTGGCAAATAATACATAGGTGCCTACCCACTCCGGACTGGATTACATCACGAACTGACCTGGAGGAAAAAGGAGTGCTGTCCCCACTGTGCTCCTCCGCTCCCACACGGTGCCCAACAAAAGAGCCACCCTGGAGTACTGCTTGTTGGATTGCCCCATGGTGGCAATCCAACTGTGGAGCTGGTGGGATGCAGCGTGTCACTACCTTACGGAACAACACCTCCCCTGGGACGTGTCTACCCTCCTCCAACGAGCCCCTCAGGCTGGGCCCGAGAACTGGTCTCCGTTTACGACTAACCTGTTCGCATACTGCAGACTCACCATGCTCATGGCAGCCTGGAGGATGCGCTGTTCCTATGAGAGAAAACAGCACAACTACGGCTACATGCAAGCCCGGTCAACGATAATAGACACAATCACTGCCAAAACTCACTCGGCTTGGAAAGAACCGCAGAACCAGCTGGCCACTGAGCTGGATACTGGGAATAGACTGGGACTGCGGAACAGACTTGCTGAAACATGGATTGACCCAAATAAGAGACTTTGCAGTCTCAACGACGATCGCACGCTCACATGGCATCCCTGGCTTCTCACTGAGAGGCAGTGGGAACGATTACCGAAGTACCACTTTCAAGTCTCCTATCAACCGACTGACTTTGTCCTCGTCCAAGGTTGATCACCGGTCCCTGTCTTGATATTGCACTTCGCCCCCCCCGCCTCCTGTTCCCACACTGATTACACACACATAATACACCAACGCCCGGTCTTGCCATTCTTTCATGACCTGCCCCCCCCCCCCC